TGTGGGACTCCTGAATGGAAGCCCCTTTGGTTAGAAAGCTAGGTGATCCAGGGACACATCTCTTGGGTGGAAGCTGTGGAAGCTGTGGCACACATGCGTGTACAAGCTTTTTCCAGTTAGATACTAGTAATTTGGAGTGAGCTGGAGGGAAAAGGTAGGATAGACATCCACTATCTTCTCTGGACTCTGGGGGAGGATTGCAGCCAGTCCCTAGTTCCTGCAATGTTGGAAATCTGGCTCTCAGACAGTAGCTTTTAAAGTATGCTGATAACTTTCTTTCAGGAACAAACTGGGAATTGGGTGATTTTTTCTGCTCTCTCTGTACTGAGCCTTGTGGGAGAGACATGGTGAGTGCTCATGCACACATTAAGAATTACTTCTTTGTTTGCCATAGTCTTGTAAGTCTCCTGGACACCAACCCCATTGAGTTTTAGAGATAGCTATTTGGGGAGCCTCTCTCACTGGTAGTATTCTTAAAAGTTGGGGCCCAGACTTTTGTGGGGCTCAAATCCTTAACTCCTTGAGGAGAATCTGGGAGTTGGGTACTTTTCCTGTGTATCTGTGTTTCAAATCTTTCCTTTTTCTTATAAAGACACTAGACACCAAGTTTAGGACACACCCTAAATCTAGGATGATCTCATCTCAAAATCATTAACTTAATCACATCCGCAAAAACCCTCTATTTCTAAAAAAGGTTATATTCACAGGTACCAGGGTTTAGGATTTGGACATACCTTTTTAAGAACACAATTCAACACACTACAGCTACATTCTGATTAATTTCCTCATACAAATCTTCCTGTTTATTAATCTCTCTTTAGTTGTATTGAATCAGCTGTTAAACATATTCATTTCTAAAATTTTAATTATTATATTTTCAGTTTTCAGAATATTTAGTCTTTGTTTCTTCTCTGCACACAGTTTAAAGCTTTTTTTAACTTTTGTATGTAGAAAAGCATGGCTATTTATATTTTGGGGTTCTTACCTATCATTTGTTGTTTTTCTTGGTTTATAGTACCTCGTTTGTTTTTTTGTTCATTTTTTAATTTAAATCTATTGGGAGTAACATTGGTTAATAACATTATATAAGTTTCAGGTGTACAACTTTATAACACATCATCTGTGTATTCCATTGTGTGCTCACCATAAAAAATCTAGTCTTTTTTCATCACCATATATTTGATCCCCTTTACCCTCTTTATCCTCTTCCTACCACCTTCCCCTCTGGTAACCACCATCGTGTTTTGTCTGTGTTTATGAATATGTTTGTTTGTTTGTTGCTTTTTGTTTTATATCTCACATATATGGGTGAAATCATATGTTTCTTGTCCTTTTCTGTCTGACTTATTTCACTTAGCATGATATTCTCAAGATCCATCCATGTTGTCGCAAATGGCAATATTTCCTCTTTTTTATGGCTGAATAGTATTCCATTGTATGTATGTACCACATCTTCTTTATCCAATCATCAGTTGAAGAACACATCGGTTGTTCCTACTTTTTGGCTATTGTAAATAATGCTGCAATGAACATAGGGGTATATATATCTTTATGAATAATTGTTTTTTAATTTTTAGAGTAGATACCCAGAAGAAGGATTGCTGGGGCATATGGTAGCTGTATTCTTAATTTTTTGAGGAACTTCCATACTGTTTTCCATAGGGACTGTTCTATACATTCCCACCAGCAGTGTATGAGAATTCCCTTTACAAACAATACCTCTAATAAAGGGCTAATATACAAAATATATAAAGAATTCAATACACACACAAAAAAAATCAATCCAATTAAAATATGGGCAAAGGACCTGAACAGACCACTTTCCCCAAGAAGAATACAGATGATCAACAGACATGAAAAAATGTTCAGCTCTGCTAGCTATGAGGGGAATGCAAATCAGAACCACAATGAGGTAGCACCTCATACCTGTTAGAATGGCTATCATCAAGACAAAAAATAACAAATGTTGGAAAGAATGTGTAGAAAAGAGAACCCTTGTACACTACTCATAGTGCCTTGTTTTCTCATGCATTTAGTGTGTTTTGACTATGAATACCTCAATTTAATTGAAAATTTGCTTTTTGAGATTCATGGAGACCTGGTATTAGGTTGGTTCCTACAGAAAATGTGTGTATTTTGTTTCTGCCAGAGCCTGGGATAAATTTTTGTTTTGGACTACTTTAAACTAAAATTTTAGTTTGAGAGTTTGAGGATGATTCAAACACTATAAATTTACACTTAAAGTCAACGTGATAGCTAGATTATGGATTCAACATCTTAAGGGTGCTTCCTTCTTCTGTTAGATTGCCAAGTTTTAGATAGATTTTTATTTAATCTTTGGTTAAAAAGGGGTGGTATTTCTAATTCACTTTTATACTAAAGTAGAGCCCTTTGGGGGTTTCTGTCCTATAAGGGAAAAGATCTCTATGTAGACTCCCCACCTTAAGCAGATACTGAAATTTGCCTGCTGTACTCCATGTGCCATGAGGCCATGAAAATATACCGAAGTTGACCTTGTTTGGCAAATGCCCTCAAATTTCTCTTACTTCTCTGGTTGACACCATCAGTGGGTCTCTGGCTTGAGTATTTCTTATTTTCTTTCTAGCACAATAGTGGTCTTAATAAAATATTTTAAAGCTTTTATCTAGCATTTTAATTGTTTATAGTGGGAATTTAGCCTACTAATATTGTCCGCTGTCTTATCAGAAACAGAAGTATTTCTTTTTGAATATATGATTTCTATTATTTTAGAAAATTTTCTATAACACCTACATTAAAAATAATTGGCCTATTTTTTAAATCATATTTTGTCATGGGCTTTAAAATCTTAACTTCTAGTATGGCCCAATTTTTATTTATAGTTAATTTCTATCTTTTTCCCTCTCTTTTTCTAACTTGATTAGCCCAATGATTAATAAGGCAAATAAGTAGCTGATTAAAATAACATGTGATAGGATCTATAAAGTTTCTATGAGTGTGTTATGGACATACTTGTTAAGATTTAAATGAAAAGATATCTGGAAAGCTCTCAACATACTGGCTCACATTTGGAAACACCTTAGTAGATATTCACCTTTGTAGTATTAGGAAAAACTTCCTTAAAGAAAGCAGAGGGTAGAAATTGTCCAGAGAAAGAGATCAGTGGATGAGTGGGAAAAATTGAATAGTATAATGAAGCCAAGAGAAACTGGCTTCATTATACTAATAAACTTTAATATAACTTAAGTATAGAATAAGAGTGAGAATGGCAATAGGTGAGACCGGAGAGCTAAGAGCAGGACCTATCATGTTGGGCATTGTAGACATAATAAGGAAGCTGGACTTTATCCTAAGAGAAACATAGTTATTGAAGAGTTTCAAGCAGGAAAATATCTTGATTATATTTATGTTTTAGAAATATTATTTTGGCTGCTGTATGAAGAATAGTTTAGATGGGGCCAATAGTGAGTACTAGGAGAAAAGATAGTGGGCTGTTGAAGGAATACAGGCAAGAAATAAAGTGAGCATAATAAATGGATTTGATATGTTGCAGATGAAGCCTTAGAACTTCATGACTGACTGGATATCGGGAGTGAAAGACAAGCTAGAGTTAAGGACAAAGCCCGGGTTTCTAGCTAGAGCAACTGGGTGGATGTGCTATCACTCACTAATTTGGAGAATAAAGAGGAGGAGCATATTTGGAAGATACAATATTACATTTCATTTTGTACACATTGTATGTGAGATACTTTTGATACTTGTGATACTCATGAGAATGTCTCCTATGAAACTTCTTTGCCTCAGGAAAGTGCAAAAGATGTAGGTTTCCCTATAAACTGCTACCAAAATGACCGATTTTCCTTAAAGGGAAGTGGGAGATCTTACATAATACTTTGAGAATAGAAACCAATTCTTTCATTCCTTTCTTTGATTTCTCTACATTTAGCTTTGTATTCGATATGCTCTGATCTTTTGATTTACAAGATGTGATTATCATACAGACAATTTAATTTAGCTTAGAATATTCAATTTAGCTTCTCCCAATCCAACAAACATGGTATGGTTGGCCACTTCTAAGATAGCCCCCAGTGATCTCCACCCCATAGTACACACACTTTTGTGTAATTTACCTTGAGTGTGAGTTTAACTTTTCAACTTACTTCTAAGGAATATAATATGGTAGAATTGATGTAATAGTATTTCTGATTTAGGTTATAAAAGGACTATGGCTTTTTGGGGTGCTGTGTTTCATGCTCTACCTTAAATGTCTTGCTATGGGGAAAGCCAGCTACCATGTCATAGCAGCCCTGTTGAAAAACACATGTGGCAAATAACTTATTCTTACCAAGAGCCAAATGAGAGAGTTTGAAAGTGGATCCTTGTCCAGTTGAGCCTTGAGATGACTTGCAGCCCTCGCTGACATCTTGATTGTAGTTATGTGAGAGATCATGAACCAGAATCACCTAAATAAGCTCTTCCCAGATTCATGACCCACACAAACTGTGAGAGTTTTGGGGTAATTTGGTATGCAGCAATAGATAACTTATATTCTTGATTTGCTGGCAAGGCAATCAGTCAGAGTCATAGAAAGTGTAATGAGATATAAGTATGGGAATGTAGCAATTGAGATCACATGCAATTTTATTTATTAAAGAGTTAAAGTAGTACATTAACAAAACTTTATGTGATAGAGAAATAATACCTGAACTCTTCTGAATGTGATTATCAACTAAACTACCAGAGATACCAGTCTGCTGAGTTCCTCCACAGTTATGTAAATCAAAGGCTAAGAGGTTGGCTGAAGTCAGGATATGAACAACTGAATAGTTTCTTCTGGAAAGACTTAAAATGAAGCAATAATACCGTTTTATAAAGAAATTGAAATGAAACTTCACTCTTTGGCAAGAAGAGTACTACATCATTTCTGTAGCTAAGTCTCCCAAGTCTAATGTAAACCAAGGATTATGACAATGATCCAGTAAGTCTGGCCCCAGAGCTCCCTTCAGCTTGTCTCTTGCTTGACTTTGGAGAATGAACTGGGAATGATTTAGAGACTAGAGACTTGTTTGACAATAGGAAAATGAAAAATCTCAAGTCCTGGACCCATCCTTTGATCTCGAGCCATTAGTGCTGTAGATTCTCTCATCCTCTTGTGTCTGAAAAATGCTCAGGTATTAGTGTCACTACCTTGAGTGACATGGCTGATACCTTGAGTAGGTAAATGATTGTCTTGTTTCCTGAGATGGGAAGTGCCTGGCCAACATCCTCTTCTTTGGTTGTATGAGACAGGGACCAAAATGGGAAAATGAGAATTGGACAAAAAATTCAGTCCAGGAAGTAATCTTACAGGGCTTCCGGTTACAAGTGGTTTTAGAACAAGTCTTTCCAGCAAAGACTATAGCAGGTCACAGCCCTAGGGCTTGGCTGGTTTTATCAATCTGGCAGTTCAGAGTCAGTGCAAAGGACATCCCCAACACCTGAAAAAAGAGTTGAAAAAATATGAGGTCTTTATAGGAGGATCCATCTCTCCCACAACCCCTGTGATCAGCCCCAAAGTAAAAGAAAGTATCCTTTACACTGAGACCACCCTTCCTGCTATCACTTCCAATTCCTTCTCAGGTATTCTGTCCTTTAGTTTTAGAATGGCAGTGGGGAGATAAGTGGGGGCAAAGATGGCAAGACAATGGAGTACAGAGTGTTGGGATATCTTTTGTCTCCTTAAGAAGTCCTTAAGAAGGCTTAAGAGGCTCTGCTGCTGGTGTAATCACATTCTGAACACTTTATGCAATGAATCAACTCTACCCATGTCTTAGGCCTCCTTGATTTCTAAGCAGGGGAAAATTGTTTCATTCTGAGTTCCTTGATTAAATCTTAGCTATTCTGTGATATATCACATGAAAAAAAATCATACAAAATGATCCCCAATTAATTCTTGACTTATCAAACTAAGCAGAGAAACAACAAAGAAATTGATTATAATTTTCATCACCAACTCCTGCTTAACGTACAAGGCCAATTTTTCAAGTGGAATGTTTTATCCATCACGTGATTTTCTCTTAGGAATAAGTTGACCAGATAGATCTTATAGCGTATTTTCTGTATGCTTTAAGTTTGTAATAACATTATTTTCTACTTGACTGAGGGAGCTCATATTTATTGAGCATATACTATATATCTGATAATGTTCTAAAACCTTTTATGACTTAGCTCATTTAATTCCCAAAGTTGTATGGTTAAGCTCTTACCTGGATCACACATACACAGATAGTGATGATGCCAATATATAGGAAATTGGAATGAAACCACAGTTTTGCTTTTATATAGCAACCCTAGAAAAAAATTACAAGTACAAATAATATCGCTATATTATTCAACTTTATCAAATGTTTATTTGGGAACATAGTTTGTATTTTGCCTTCTGCCAAGAGACTTCGGCCAGGTATTATATTTTTATTTTCTTTACATTAATAAAGAAACTGGTGTAAAGTAGAGAATATTAAACTAGACTTTTCTGCTGGTGTTACCATTACAGTGGCACCTAAAGTAGAAGTCTTAGATTCTTACACACTGAATTCAGCTAGCTCCCAAAAGGTATGTCAGCAGCAGATGTCCTTATGTTCTTTGAACATTTACTTCTGAATCAGTGTTAACAAATGGGAATATAAGTTATGCAATGCCAGGATTGGTTGCATTTCAGCTTCTGCCTCAAAAGCCAGTAAATCTATCATGGCCCGACCAAGCTCCAGGGCAGTTGCTGGTTGGTAGGTATCCTAGTCTTTCTTCACAGACCTAAAAAATTCCAGAGATTTCCAAACACCCCCAAGAGAGAGTAACATGGGGTAACAGGGGCTTGGTCAAGTTGGAAGATGATTTTGGCTTTTTCTCTGGGTCTTTAGTGGGCACGTTGTTTCAGCAGTTTCACCAATCTTCTCTCTCCCAACTCCTCACTCCTTCACTTACGATTCATTTCACTAAGGGGCTAGATGCTGCCATCTCCAAGGAAGGAGAACAGAGAAACAGGTAGAAGAAGAAGCTTTTATACCTCAACCTTACAAATTTCACTTTCAACCATAAGGAGACCCACTTCTTACTCAAGAAGAATCTAGACATAATCCTCTGCCTCTATTGCTTAAACTTTTCCCTTCTAATATAATAGTTTAGGGCAGCAAGATTCCTAATGATGTCTCTAGTCTAAATGAGCTTGCTCCTTTTTAGTTCTGATTTGTCTAGCTATCTGCATTGTCTCTGTGGTCTCTATTTTGTTCAGGATTCCCTGTTTCTAGATGGGAGGACCAGGTCCAGTAGGACTGGAGTTTCTAAGGCAATTAAAAGGTTATTTAAAGAGGCCAATAACAGAAAAGTTGCCCGCCCGCCCCCTACAAATTACCTTAACTTGTGGATCAGAAGGGCAAGATGCTGGTGGGCTGCCGGTCCAATCACTTGTGCCATTTACACCACAACATTGCAGCTGAAAGCCAAATGCCACAAAAATGTGATTGTTAGAAAATTAACAGAACGAAAATTGTGGGCCTTGAAGAAAAGATGGGCCCTTCACATCTGATTCTATAGCAGAATTTGTCTGACCACTAGAGCTCCTTAGAACAAAGTGCTTTCAAATCCATTATACCATTTTATTCATATGGACTCTTTGAAGTAGAGAGAGCAAATTTAATTCTTTCACAATTTACAGATCAAAAATTAGGCACACATGAGACTTTATAATGAAGGTATTAAGCTGACCATACCTAGACCCACCAACCAGTCTTAAAATCACAAAAAGTAGGACAATCAGACATTATATGCCTGCTTACATGAAGTAACAGGAAATATCAGCTATACTAGTCTCACCACAAATGGAACCTGCATTAGGCTTCCAGATTCATGAGTATGGGAGATAAAGACTCTCTGACACTAAAATATCTTGTGGAAGAAACTAGCCAGATCTAGAAACTGGGCAATTCTATAGAATGAGCAATCTAATTTCTTTCCATAAATAAATAGCATGAAAAAGAGGGATACCATTATAAATTAAAAGAGATTTAGAGAGACGTATCACCCATGTGTCCTTGTGTAGATCTTGATCTGAAGAAACTATTTAAAACTAATATTTTAGGTAATTAGGAAAATTTTATTATAGAGAATGTATTAGTAACATTAAGGAATTACAAAATTTTAGGTGTATTAAAAAGAAGTTATTTTACAGGAAGGCTAAACAACACACTTCTAAAAAACACATGGTCAAAGAAGAAATCTCAGGAGAAATTTTAAAATATTTTGAAGTAAATGAAAATGAAAATACAACTTATAAAAATTTATGGGATAAAGCAAAAGCAATGTTTAGAGAAAAATGTATTTCATTAAATGCAAATATTAGAAAAGAAGATCTAAAATCAATAAGTGTCCACCTTAAGAAACTAGAAAAAGAGCAAATAAAATCCAAAGTAAGAAGAAGAAATAGAAATTAAAGCAGAAATCAATAAAATTGAAAATAGGAAATCAAAGAGAAAATCAACAAACCAAAATGTGGTTCTTTAAAAAGATCAATAAAAGCAATAAATTGCTAGCCAGGCTAAGTAAGAAAAAAAAGAGAAGACACAAATTACAAATATCAGAATAAATACTATGAACAACTCTACACTACGAATTTGATAACCTAGATGAAATAGACAAATTCCTTGAAAAATACAACCCGCCAAACCTCATACAAGAAACAGGTGATTTGAATAGGCCTATATCTATTTAAAATAGAATTAATAATATATAACTTTGCAAAACAGAAAGAACCAGGCCCAGATGGGTTCACTGGTGAATTCAGCCAAACATTTATGGAAGAAATTATACCAATTCTCTACAATCTCTTTCAGAGATAAAAGCAGAAAGAATATTTTCTAACTCATTCTATAAGGCCAACATTACCCTAATATCAAATCAGACACAGATATTACAAGAAAAGAAAACTAGAGACCATTGTCTTTTATGAACATAGATGTGAAAATTCTCAAAAAAAAATAGCCAATTGAATGAAAAAAGGTATGAAAAAAATTATACACCATGACCAAATGGATTTATAGTGTTTCAACACTTAAAAATGAATAAGCCCTAGCGATCTGCTGTATAACATTGCACCTATAGTCAACAATAATGCATTCTTAAAAATTATTCAGAAGATAGATCTAATTTAAAGTGTTCTCCTCATAATAAAATTGAACCAAGACTGATTCAACATTGGAAAATCAATTAATGTAATCTCTTTCATCAGAAGACTAAAAAAGAAAAATCACACAATTATATCAATAGATGCAGAAAAAGCATTTGTCAAATCTAACACCTATTCATAATTAAAAAAAAAACACTTAAAAAAGTTAAAATAGAAGGGAATTTGCTTAACTTGATACACAAAAATAATCTACAAAAGCCCTACAGTTAGCATCATACTTAATGGTACGAAGCTTTTCCACTAAGATCAGGTACAAAGCACTCCTTTTTAACATCATGCTAGAAGTCCTTTTTAATACAATAAGGCAAGAAAAATAAATAAAAGGTATACATATTAAGAAAGAAGACATAGATATATGTAAATAGAGAAACATTCCACGTTCATGGATAGGAAGGAAGACTCAATATTGTCAATATGTTTTAGGTTCTCCACAATTTTATCTACAGATTCAATGCAATCCCAATCAAAATTCCAGCAAGTTATTTTATGAATATCGACCAACTAGTTCTAAAATTTATATAGAAAGGCAAAAGACCCAGAACAAGCAACACAATATTGAAGGGAAAGAACAAAGCTGGAGAACTGATGCTTCCCAACTTTAAGACTCACTATAAAGCTACAGTAATCAAGACAGTGTGGTATTGGCAAAAGAATAGACAAATCAATAGAATAGAATAGAGAGTTCATAAATAGGCCCGCATAAATATAATCAACTGATATTTGACAAAGGAGCAAAGGCAATACAACGGAGAAAGATAGTCTCTTCAACAAATGGTGCTGGAACAACCAGACATCCACATGCAATAAATTGAATCTAGACAGAGACCTTATACCCTTCGCAAAAATTAACCCAAAATGGATCATAGGCCTAAATTTAAAACACAAACCTGTAAAACACCTAGAAGATAACATAAGAGAAATCTTAGATGGCCTTAGATATAGAGATACCTTTTTAGAAACAACACCGAAGGCATAATCTATGAAAGAAATAATTGATAATCTGGACTTCATTAAAATTTAAAAATTCTGCTCTGCAAAAGAAAATTTTAAGAGAATTAGAAAACAGTCCACAGACTAGGAAGAAATGTTAGCAAAAGACACATTTGAAAAAGGACTTACCCAAAATATACAAAGAACTCTGAAAAATCGACAATTAGAAAACAAACAAACTGATTATAAAATAAGCCAAAGACCTTAACAGACACCTCACCAAAAAATATATACACATGGCACGTAGCATATAAAAAGATTTTCAACATCGTATGTCATCAGAGAATTAATTGCAAATTAAAACAACAAGATATCACTGTACCCCTATTAGAATGCTCAAAATCTGGAAACTTGATACTAACTGCTGGTGAGGATATGGAGCAAGAGGACCTTTTATTTTTTGCTGGTGAGAATACAAAATGGTACAGACATATTGGAAGACAGTTTGGAAGTTTCTTATAAGACTAAGCATACTTTTATCGTATGATCCAGTAACCATGCTCCTTGGTATTTATCTGAAGGAGCTGAAAACTTGTGCACCCTGCTGACCCGCAAAACACAAATTGCTTGTGGATGTTTGTAGTAGCTTTATTCATAATTGCTAAAACTTGGAAGCATCTAAGATGTCCTTTAGTAGGAGAATGGATAAATAAACTGTGGTACATCCAGACAATGGAATATTATTCAGTGCTAAAAAAAAAAATAATAATGAGTTACAAAGCCGTGAAAATGCATGGAGGAATGTTAAATGCATATTACTAGGAGAAAAAAAAGCCAATTTGAAAAGGCTGCATACTGTATGACTCCAAATATATGACGTATTGGAAAAGGCAAAACTATGAAGACAATAAAAAATATCAGTGGTTTTCAGGGAGGAGGTAGGAGGAGAGATGAACAGGGGGAGCATAGAAAATTTTAGGGTAGTGAAACTATTCTGTTAGATTCTATAATGATGGATATATTTCATTATACATTCTTCCAAATGCGTAGAATGTACCATGCCCAAAGTGAACCCTAATGTAAACTATGGACTTTGGGTGGTAATTATGTGTCACTGTAGGTTCATTCTTGGTTTGACAAAAAGTATCATTCTGGTGAATGATGTTGATAATGGGGGAGCCTGTGCATGTGTGGAGGCAGAGGGTATATGCACCATTTCTGTACCTCTCTCTCATTTCTGTTGTAAACCTAAAACTTCTCTAAAAATAAAATATTTTAAAAAATAAAGTCTTTATATTTAATGGGTGAAAGGATATGATGTCTAGTATTTGCTTCAATATATTCTAGCAAAAAAAGCCTAGGGGATTATGAAATGACATTGGCAAAATGTTAACTGTTAAAGCTGGGTAGTACGTACTTGGAGATTCATTTTGTTATTATTCTCCTTACTATTGTATATGCCTGAAAACTTTATAATAAATAAGCTTCTAAGCTAAATTTAAAAAATAGAGAATTGAGGATTCAGAGAGGTTAAGTGACTTTCCCAAGACCACCGAATCCTGGTCTCTGGGCTCTAATTCCTTCACTATTTCTTCTACTCCACACTAAGCAGGCCTGACAGGGCCACAGGGACTCCATGTAGTCATAGTGGTATTGTCTGAGACACAGACTACACCAGTGGCAGGCTGGGTCCCTGACCCTTCTTTATCCCCTAACACACCAAGGCAGGA